TTTTTAAAGGTACGATTTTTTAAATGATTTTCAAATCACTGTCACATCTGTTATCTCATGGATTCTTACAATCCTTTGGGTGGAGCCAGTACTAAGTAGTTCTGTTTTATAGACTGGAACACAGACGAAGTGTGTGTGATTTACGTAAGCCACTCAGTTGGCTGAAGGGAAACCTTCCAGTGGGTCTCAGGTCTCCTGAGTCCTGCATTAGCAGGACTGGGACTCCTGGCTGCTGGGACTTCATCCTTGGTACCCTCATTCTTAACTAGGAGTAGCTGCTACCTGGGCTTTGATCCTCTGGTCCAAGGTGGGTGTCTAGGTGGTTGAAAATGGAGCACATGAAAGATCCCAAAGATGCGGTCCCTGCCTGGGGTGCCCTCTTCCACTCTTTTCTTGAATAAGTCACAAAGTCCACAGGTAAACTGTTTTGAAATGTTGAGAGAGAGACAGACAGAGAGAGGTGGAGATGTCAGGCCAAGGCTGTTTGAGAGTCAACTTGGACAACATTTCTCCACTCTAGTTTTTGGAGGGGAAGAGATGATGGAAACGGGTCTGTCCTTGTGCAATTCAATGCCTCCCCCAACCCCAGGCCTTCTCTCCCTCCAACTCTCTTAGGAGAGGTTGCTGGGGGCTTACAGGGTGACTTTGGCAGAGGGTCTTCATTCGAGGCCCAGGGCTCCTCACTTCAGAGGGGCAATGCCTTGGGAGAGAATACCAAAGGCACAACCAGACCAGAACCCATATCCCCTGCTCCCAGCTCCGGGAGGGCACTCTGCCCAGGCCATTGGCCCGCGGTGCATGGGGCAGAGCCCCGACATGCACTGGAGTGGCTGAGGGTGGAGAACAGGGCTCACTCTCATTGTTTTCTGCATGGAGTCTTATCACCACTCCCCTGGAGATGGTCATCATTCTTGGATACAGCTCGACTTCCTCCACAATTGTTCGCCACAGACTAGGGGACAGAACGGGCTCTGGGAGAAATCCAGGGGTATCCCCCAAAGCCCTCCTTGATTCACAATTAATGACACCACTACCGAGGGACCGGCTGTGTGCTCCGTTCTCAGAGATCCTTCCGACAAACTTCTGTGTTAGGTGCCATTAGTGCTTTATTTCAGCCAAGGAAACGTAAGCCCAGAAATCGAAATGACGTATCCAAGGTGACAGAGTCCCTTTCCACACTTCAGAGCCCACTAGGCAATGCTTCCCTGAGTTTCCTGAGGAGGCAGGCCCATTTTGCAGGTTCTGAAGTTAGCGATCCTCCCTATTCAAACTGAGCTTAAGTGTGGGCTTTGGAAAGCAGAATAGAAAACCTACCCCACACGCTCTCTGAAGCAAAGTGGGTTGAGCCACAAAGACAAGGCTGGCGCCCAACTGATTTTAACTTGGGTTGCAGTTGCCCCTCTCGCGCTCTGTGAGCAAACACAACCTTGGGGTTCAAGGAGCAGCAATGGGGCGGAGGAGGGAGCGGGAAGAAACTGTTCCCTGGACTAAGAAACTGCTAAAATCTTTAAATATCTCTGGACTTTTTTTTTTTTTGGCTCCCTGCAATGTTTTGGTGTTTAGATTCGGTTGCCACGAGTGGGCTGTTTTTAGCTGCCTTGTTCCATCCCCTCCCCTTTTAACTTTTTCCCCTTCCTTTAGCACATGCCCCGGCATGAAGTTTCCAATTCTTATCTCACTCAGCAACACACGCGGAGGCCGGTCTGAATGTGGATTCCCAAGCCGGTTCTCCAGCAGGAAACCTCGACAATATTCAAATCTCTGCTCAACCCTCTTTCAGCGCGGATTAACCCCTGCAATAACCCAACCCAGCGCTGCCTTCTCAGGGGGCAGAGGCATTCTTTGCCTTTGTGCAGAGAAATATTTCCGTCTGAGGAGCTGTTCCTGCCGCTCCTTTCCATGGTAGGGAGTCTGCACGCGGGACATGGGGTGCCATTAACTAAAGTTAGGGTAAACTGAGGACGCACAGGACCAGATATCGATCGCCCCTCTGGGGGCACCCACGTAGGGGCTCTTCCTTTCCACTTTCCCAGTCCCCGCCATCTGCCAGGCGCTTATCTCCCAGTTCTCCCCGGGGCCGGGGGCTGGGGGCAGGCAGGCAGGCAGGCAGGCATCCTTTCTGTTTTCCTGAGATAAGAATTTCATTCACAAGGGGGTGGGCTGACTTCCGCGTCGAGAGTCTCGCAGCCGTTCGAGCGTCAGCGGGAAAGCCGGCAGAGCAAGCAGCTCAGCCGCAGCCTGCGGAGAACGGCTGGCAGCAGGTCTGTCTACCCAGGTGTGCCTTGGAGATTCAAAACCAAGAACTCTCGCAATGCCAATAAGCCTACCAAGAGGAACGGGAGGCACTGTGGAAGCAAGAATAAGCCCACGGGCGTGCGGGCTTCGTCTTCAAGTCCCTGGCAAGGGCGTGAGCAGGCCGGGCTGGCCGCTGTCTACCCTGCGCCTGCGGTTGAGCGCAGGACCCAACCTCCACAAATCGGGCTTGGGCGTGCGAGTGGCTCGGAGTTTAACGTGCGCACTGGCCGTTGGCATTCCACAGAGGACGAGAAGGGAGAGCTTTCTCGCGTCCTCCCCCACCTCCCAGTTTCACTTTACGACGGCGCCGCCGTTCCTCCCAGACGGTAGATAAGTAGATACAGCAGATAAGCAGAGAATCCCAAGCAGCGCTCCTGCAGACTGACAAACGGCCCTCCTCCCGGTCTGGGGGCTGGGCCGACACCCCCGGGGCTTACCCGCCGGCCCCGCCCGCCTCGGGTTTACCAGCAGACGCGTCGGCGGGAGGGCGGGTGCGGGGGTGTGGGGCAGGGAGTGCGGGGGTGCGGGCCGCGGCGGCGGGTAGGGTGTGGCTAGGAGCGCCGTTACCATGGCGAAAAGTAAAGCAAAACAAGCGCCCCGAGCTTCCCGCGCGACGCAGCTGGAATCCGGACCCAGTCCCAAACAACCTGCACGTGGGTCCTGTGTGGAACCCCGGGGCCCCAGGACGGGCCGGGACGAAGGGACCTTCCGAGGCCGCCCTCGGCGTAGTCCTGAGCCTGAATCTCGGGGCGGGGCGGGGGGGGGGAGTGTTCCGGGAGAGGCTGGGGCTGGGGAAGCAGAACACGGGGGCGGGCAACTCAGTTTTACCTGCAGCTCGGAGGGTCTCTGCGCCAGGCTGCTGGGCAATTGTGGGGGGGGCTGGAGGAGGGGACACGGATACCCTGGGGTGGGGGACTATGTGCGTGTGCGTGTGTGAGAGACAGAAACAGACACTGATGGGACCCCCCCGCCCCCCATCGCCACCGTGACAGCCGGGGGCTTGCAGGTGCGGTGGGGCGGGGCTTCAAACCAGCGAGACCGGGTCTCGGAGGCCCATCTAGCTCTTACCCCACGTTATCAAACTCGGACTGGCGCTTGCCTCTCCCAAGAGGGAGATGGGAGCGGGGGTTTGTGCCCCGGCCTGGCCCCGCAGCGCACGGGCGCGCGCGGGGCTCCCTCCCAGGCAGGTTCAAAACCAGCGAGGGCTACACTCGCTTCCAGATACACGCGTCCGTGGTTCCAGGAGGTCCGCAGACAGCCACGGTTGCGGAATCCAAGCCAAGAAGTCATTCTTAAGGTTCAAACCCAGTTCTGCCGAAGCCTCGGCTCGAATCTGGAGTCACGGGACAGCGCCTTTCCCGCCGCCCGGGCTCGGGGGAGGAAGGGAATTCTGCTGCGGCCTCGATTCCGCAGCTGTCAGTCCGTCCCGGTGCCGGCGGCCGGGGGCCAGCCCGTGCGCTCCGGGCGCCGAGAAAGACGTGCAAGCCGAAGACGGCTTTCCCCCAAACACCCAGGGAAGGAGACCGAGACGCCCTCCCTCCTCCTCTGCCCGGCCTCCAGGCTTCAGCCCTGCTCCCGGTCCCTCTCCGAGCTGCCTCGGATTTCTCCGGGTCGCTCGTCTTCCCGGGTCTTGCTCGTTTCACTGTCGACTTCAAACGCCGTGGGTGTTTAAAACAACAGAATCCTAACCCAAACGTTCCCATCACTCGCCCTCGCCTGGGTGCCGGGCTCCCGACCTGTCTCGGGGCGGCTCCGCTCGTGCGGTCGGCTGGGGAGCCTCGGGGCCGAGAGCGCACGGCGCCCGCGGAGCGCTGCCCTCGGCTCGGGGATTAACCGGCCACCCGCGGTCCCCGCCGCGGAGGTCACCCACGGAGGATGCCTTTGGGCGCCTCTCCCCCACCAGAGACTAACGCTACAGTGCTTACCCCGCCCCCTACGTGAGAAGGAGGTGTTTGGCAGTGGAGGGGGGTATTTTCCCGAAGCTCCAGAAAATTATCACGGATTTTAAGGAAAGGACGTGCCCGCTTCCCAGCTTCACCTAGTCTGGGATACGGCCAGGATCCACCTCTCCACCTCGCCCCCACCGGCCCCTCCCCCCACCTAGCGGAGGGAGAGATGCCAGCGCGGTGGAGTCATGCAGCTGGCTTGGGCACCATTGGCTCATGCCGGGAACACGCAGCAGCGAGTACGCACATCTGGCAGGCAGCCCGGGCAACGCGGGTCCTGATATGGAGAGGCAGGGCGGGCAGGTTGGCGTCCCGGCGCGCGAGACGGGGAGGAAGGGCCGCGGCGGCCCCGCCCCGAGCTTGCATCACCAGTCCCCACCTCTCCCTACCTCCCCTCTGGCCCCTCCTCCGCCCCTCCTCCTTTTGCCCAGCCTAGTTCGGCCGGTTCTCAGGGGAAACTATTAATAGCATTACATCAGCCTAGCACTGGAGTAATCGGGCGCGGCGCCAGCCAGAGGGCTATAAAAGGGGTGATGCAACGCACTCGCAGCCACAGTCGCACGCAGCGAGGCGGGCACTGCACAGCACTCTCCCCGCGCCGCGGCCGCAGCGAGCCCGCCAGCCCGCGCGCCGGCAGCGAGTTCCCGGTGCTCAGCCGCCGACCCCGCCCCGACACCCCCCGCCCTCCGGACCCTGGCCGCCCCGACTGGAGACCGGAGGTGAGCGCTTGGAAGCCCAGAGAACGAGCGCGGCGAGGGTGGCTCGCTCGCTTTCCTTCCCTTCGCGCCCCTGTAGCAACTAGCCCCGCGACCCCTGGAGTCACCCCTGACCCGCGCCCCCAGCCTCCCGCTTCTAAAGAGCCCCGGCGGAACGCTTCCCAGCCACTGCTGCTCCTCGGCGCTTCAGAAAGTTTCTCGCCGACAACTTTCTCTTTTGACTTGGGGCGCGAAAGTTTCCTGGTGAAGAGGTGGGCTGCTGCTTCGCGGCCAGGTCGGGGACACCGCTCTTCGCCGCCCTCGGCGTTTTCTCACCCGGCGGGGGGAGGGCGTAGGGAGGTGCGTTTCGCGGGGGTGGCCGAGGCGCTCACTGTCCGCTCCACGCTCCATCCCTCGCTTGGTGCCGCGGCACTGCCACTCCCATCTCCGCCTTCCCGAGGTCCGCAGCGGGGCACGAAGGCCCGGGGCTCACGAAAGTGCTGCCCCTTGGGCCAAACGGAATGAATGGTGGCGGGACCGGCAAACCCGGGGCGCGGGCGCGGGTGCGGTCGCTGGGAGTCGCCCTGCGCACCGGAGAGCGCAGGGAGCCGCGAGCGAAAGTTTGTTGAGATAAGTTCAGAGGCGGCGAGCGCTCCTGTTCTGTCCTGCGGCAGAAGACGGAAAGGGCTCGCGTCTCGGGCTGGTGTCTGGTGTCGGGCTCCTGGGTCTGAGACTTCCTGTTCCAAGGCTCTTACGCTTTGTTCTGCTCTGGTACCTGTGGCTCGCGCTCTTCCTCCGGCAGGTTCGCGGAGTTCTCTGCTTGCCGTTCCCGGAGAACAGCCGTGGGGGAAGCGAGGGTGCGAAGCCAGATGTCCATATAATTGAGAGAACGGCTTTGTGCCCCAGGGGCCGGGGCCGCGAGGAGAGCTTGTACTGCACTTGATGACCCTGAGCCTCGGCATCCCCAGCGGGAAGACGCGGGCCCCTCGGCGTGTCTGCGAGCACAGGTGGTGGTTGGACCAGATAACCATTAAGGTCCTTCCTGGCCAGATGCTCGGATTCTAGAGTGGTGTAACTGAGGGGAATGGGGCCAGTGAGGGGCCTTGAATGAGTTGAACGAGGGGGGTCTCTAATGTCACTGAGCAGCCTCGGAGGCAGAAGGGGAAGGAGACTTCTCTGTGGGGCATCTTCCCAGTCCAGCTCTCTTCCCCCTGGAACTGGGTCTCCGCCCGCCCCCACGCTGCATTTTCATCTCACCTACTTACTTTCTAACCACTTTCTTCTCTCTGATTTCATTTCCTAGATCACAGATGCTCTGAGTTGCTAAAGCTTTGGTGGGGGGGGGGTAAAATTTGTGCGTTGTGGCGGGGCGGGGGCGGTGGTTAAGAAAGGGCCAAAGGGCCAAGAGCCAGAGAGAAGGGTGGGGTCGAGACAGGAAGAACCCAAAGGCTCCAGTAGCAGCCACAGGTGCCATATCTTACCCAGACTGAGGGCCCGAAGTTCTGCCTGTCCCGTGGTCTCCCAGTGCACCTACCTCAGTGTGGGCGACAGTCACCTGTCTTTGGGGCTTCGGCAGAACTTTAAATGAAGGGGAAATGGATATTACTGTCCCCTTGTTTTGCATTTAGCATTTGTTGTAGAATAATGCTGCAGTGTATAGGCTTTTGCTTTGAGGGTATTCCCTGCTAGGACTGGAGCGGAGGTGGGTTTTGTGGTTGTTATTGTGGGGCCTGTTTCAGTGATGGCATGGCTGGTAGCACTCCAGGCCCGCAGTGTGGGTGAGACCCAGCCCTCCGCACCTGGGGCAGCTGTCTCAGCCTTTGGGTCCTCGTTGTCTTAGCCACACCCTGTCCCTCTCTCCCTCACCCTGTTGGCCGTTTCTTCCCTTGTTCTCTACACTCCCTCCCCGTCGCGTCCTGTTCAAGCCTTCTCTGTGCTGGGCACCAGGTTACTGGACTATTGACCCCTGGTCTACCTGACCAGTGGCTCTTTTCTCCAGTCGCCTTGCCGAATGCATCTCTGTTGGTGATGGAACTAAATGGGCAGTGGGAGGGTGGTCAGCAGCGTGGCCTGAACTGGACCTCTCCCCAGCGTTAGGGCCTTGGGCAAGTCACTGTACTTTCCGGCACCTCGGTTTTACTCGGTTTACAAGTGCAGGCCTGACCTAGGTGACTCTAATACTGAGTGTTCTGTCCCGTTAGATAGAGTCCATGATTTCTTCCATTTTCAGATTGGGTGGGCAGGGGGCAGGGTCAGTGACTCCAGGGGTCCCCCACCCTGGGGAAGAGGAAGTACATAGCCAGGACACCACAGAAACCAGAAATGGTTTCTCTAGTGAGAACTAGCTATTTCTTAAGTACGTAAAACCTGTGGGGACAAGCTGCTGCCAGCAAATGGGCGGGGGGTGGGATTGACCTGGCATGACAGGAAGCTGGGGGTCAATCAAAGTGCAGAAGAAGCTGTGACTGCCGGGAATTCCTGATGAACGGGACTCAGCTGCACTGACAACAGTGTCGAGCTCCCCGGGCCCCGGGGAAAGTGGGGTCACCGTAGTGTTGGGTACTCGGGACGCATGGAAATGCACCTTCACGAATCTCGCATGGTCTTCCTGACTGCCCTGTGAGGGAACTAGGGCAGGTGGCATTGGTCTCACTTCACAGATGAGGAGACGGAGGCCCTGGGAGCACGAGTCGCTTCTTGGTGGGTGCTCAGCTTGTGAGTGGTAGTGACAGGCCTGGAAGCATCTGGTCCCGGAGGCTGGCCTCACACCTCCACCCTTCAGGCGGGCTGGGGGAAAGACCCAGCACGGTATGAAGTTAGCGAAAGACTGATGCTGGCTTCTGACTGTGTTTTACGAGCAGTAGTAGTTGGTGGAAAGCGATAAGAATTGAAGTGAAAATTCAGCACGGTTGCTTGTAGGTACTAGGAAACAAAGTCCAGGCGCTGAATTTCCAGTTAAAGAAACACATGAGTAAAGTTTCACTTTCTTGAAAATGATGAAACTGCCAACGATATGACATGATTTCTGATCAGAGATAATGAAGCAGAAGCAAAATGCAAGGTGCTTTGTAGCAAGCCTGGACAATTTTAAGATCAATATAGAAAGTCAGCTCAGAAAATCCTCAAACATTTTTTTTTCTTCAGTGAAGGGGATGTCAGAGGGTCTCAGTTTGTGGGGGGGAAATGTCTGAAGATTTAACTTTATTTTCCTTGTAGGGACATAGCAGGCGTCCAGACTGAATCATATCATAAGAGAGTTGAGTAAAGAGGTCACTAGAAAGTATCTCAAGAAACCAAAAACTAAGCTTCAGCCGAGTGCAGAGAAAGCCCAGATCTCTACAGATACAACTACATTACTTTCTGAAAAGCTTTTAACATTCTACAACTCTTTTCTATCCCCAAGTAAGCCTTCCCAATGCTTTCATAAAGACATTCCATACCACTGACATTCTTCATTTTCTTTCATCGGGACTGCTGACTTTACACTAAGGAGGGAAAAAAAAACCCACCAACAAAGAGCAGATCTCAAGTCTTGAGAGCTCATTAATAAACTTAGTCGGGTGGTGAAATGGAACTACACTCAACTGCCATAGAGTTTGAACTGCCCGTGTAGAAGGGAGCCAGCCTTCTAGGCTTCCAAACAAGGGCGAGCCCAGGGGTAGCTCTGAATTCCATCAGAAGTTGGAAAGGGAGGGAAAACATGAATGCATGGGAGAACCTTAAGCCTCTGGCTTTGGAAGGCTGGTTTCACAGAGTTTATCACCTGCCAGAGACCAGCGCCCTCCCAGCGCCCTGAGATTATAGGATTAAACTGGTGGAACATCAGTTCTGACTCACAGCACAGGGCTTTAGGAAGAGCGTTAACATACATTGGGTTTCTTTGAATAGTCAACGGTGGCATTTGTTGGCCTGGAATTCTTGCCTCCGACAGGGTATCTCAGATCTTAAGCGGGAGTTAGAGGTCAGGGCGCTCTACTGAGAGGTGTTTGAGATCAAAGAGAGTGGCCGGCCAGCCTCCCACGTGGGCCTCACGGAGGAGCGTCTGTCAGAGAGCCAGCCCTGTGCTGGGGCATCCCTGGGAGGCCCAGTAAGAACATGCCTCCTGGTCACATTGTTTCCAGGCATGTTCACGTGTTAGTATTCTGTTCTTTTACGGAGGAGAAGGCAGGCTCTGGGAGGTACAATGATGGCGTATGAGTGGGTGAGCCTTATACCATGATCTCCTGACCCGACTCTGGGAATTTTTGTGGACCAAAGACCCACTTACACATACTCCGAAGTGCGGGCAGCAGCCTGAGTACACACCCTGACACAGAAAGATCAGCAGTTCGTTACCTCGAGTGCAAGTTTTCCCTGTGACTCTTTCCTGCGTTTCTTCAGTTCCAGGACCCCCGCAACCCTTATGCCCGTCCCATTCCCAAGAAACACTTGCTCTGGTTTCTGGTTTGTTTTTGCCACGTGGAATAGTATTCTATAAATTAAGGGCGTAAGTTCTGGAGTCAAACCTAATTCCAAACCCTGATATTTCCTCACACTAAGGATGACTCTAGACAAGTTGTTGAGCTTGTATAAACCTCAGTTACCCCATCTGTAAAATGGGGCTGGGACCTCGCCCACTGGGTTCTCGTGAGGATTAAATGAGATAGTGCAGATGAGGTTTCTGCTAGGAAGGAGGCACTCGTTACATGGCAGCTGTTTGCTGGTGGGCTTCCTCTCTGGCTGGACTTGGCTTAAAGACCACAGGTCCCCGAGATTGAGGATGCTCCAGGGGACCCCCTGGCTAGACAATACCTGTACTCATCGCCCCTGGAGAACTGACCGCCTGGATGAGGGGACAGCCACTGCTGGAGGAAGTGTATGATAGGGTGAGGTTTATGGGGGCTGCTCCAAACTGGGGCCATGAGACTATGACTTCTTCTACCCTTTACTTCCCTATTGTCAGCTTGGGTTCCCTGGACCACAAAACGATAGAAGTGGACAGGACTTGAGGAGCCAGTTGATTTGACCACCTGTTCCTGATTTTACGTGTTCTGTCGGGCAGTCGCCAGTGGTGAGCGAGCAGGGGAGCAGCAGGTGCCAGGTGCTGTGCCAGGCGCGGGGGCCGAGCGGCAGCGGACACACAGTCCCCACGCTGCAGACGCTCTCCACCGTTCGCCAGATGAAGACTGAGTCTCAGAACACTTCAGTCTCGCTGCTCCTTCTGGTCACACTGGCCAGAGCCAGTCCCAGGCCCCCGCTGGCCCCCAGACCAAAGCTCTCCCGACACCACAGGGCTGAACAAGACCTCCAGAGGAGACCCAGAATCTTAGCTCCTCACTTTCCTTCACTCTGAGGTCTTGGATTCACCAGGCTTAACTTTACAAAGGGGCTACTGGCCCCTTGTGGTCTGAATCCCTGGCTCCCGGCCCTTGCCCAGGACTGGCTCAGAGAAACACACCTGCTACGGTTACCATCCTCCTTCTCGTTTATTTGGATCCAGCTTGCTGGGGGAGAAGCATCAGAGATATATTTGCTAAATTCAAGGGTCCCCCCCATGCCTTGCTTTACTTCTACTTACTGACAACTTCAACTTGAGATGCCAAGTTTCTTTTTTTCAAAAAGAGACTGGAAATGGGTTTACATAATAGTTTCACTTTTTGTTTTTAATGCTCTTCCTCTTTCAGTTCTGTTTGAGGCTTCATTTGCATATAAGCACACCAGCCCGAACTAATGCTGTTAAGAATTTAGAATAGCCTGAAATGCCACCCCTGATAAAATTCAGGTGGGCATTTTATCCACATCACTGAGCTGTGTATTCTAAGAACCTGTTTCACTCACACTGAGTGTGGCATGAAGTGAAGACAGAACAGAAGCTGGAGGGCGTGTGGGACTTTTCCTGGGAGTGGGGCTGGGGTTGGAGGTCGCAGGTGTTGGGGGACTTGGTCCCATGCCCCCGGTCCCTGAAGTAGTTTGGGTTTCGATGTGTCTTTCAGCAAAATGATGCTTCAGCACCCAGGCCAGGTCTCTGCCTCGGAAGTCAGTGCCTCTGCCATCGTCCCCTGCCTGTCCCCTCCTGGGTCACTGGTGTTTGAGGATTTTGCTAACCTGACACCCTTTGTCAAGGAAGAGCTGAGGTTCGCCATCCAGAACAAGCACCTCTGCCACCGGATGTCCTCTGCGCTGGAGTCGGTCACTGTCAACACCAAACCCCTCGAGATGTCGATCACGAAAGCCCAGGTAGGTTCTGCCACAGGTGTCCGTTCTTTCAGCAGGTATTTGTCGTGCACCTGCACACCTACCACATGCCAGAGCATGCTCTAGGCAGGGGGGCTGCAGCGTGAGTAAAACCAACCAATGCCCTCAGGGAGCTTACCTTCCACTGGGAGGAGACAGACAATGCACAGAAGAAGACAAGACATAATGTGAGAGACTGGCAAAGGAGAAAACTCAAGCAGCAGAGGGGGACTGAGAACAGGGCTGGGGTGGGGGGCTGCTCTACCTCAGGAGGTCAGGGAAGCCTTCACTGGTAGAACAGCCTCTGAGCAGAGACTCAAAAGAGGAGAGGGAGGAGGCCGTCTAGGGATGTGGCAAAAGAGCAAGAATCGGGGCACTGCGGGGCGGTGTGCTTGGGGATAAGAGCAGCAGCGAGGTGAGGGGTGGGGAGTCGAGGTCAGAGCAGAGGTGGCCGGTGGGGGTGGATTGTGCTGGGTCTCACAGACCACCGTGAAGATGCAGCCGTTTACTCAGAGTGGGGTGGGCGGCTCCTGGAGAGCTCCTGAGCAGCAGGGCAACGTGGTCCGACCTGTAGTTTTCAGATGATCACCTGCCACATTGAGAATGGGCAGTAGGGGTGAGAGTAGAAGCGGAATATAAAAGTGAGAGGTGGCAGTAATCCAGGTGCGCAGTGGAGGGTCAGGTCAGGAGGGAAGCCACGAGGTGTGGAGAAGCGGTTGGCTCCTGGGTCTGTCTTGAAGGGTAGAGCGGATGTACTGATGCATCGGACATGGAGTATGGCTCCCACATTTCTGGCCTGACCAACTATAGGGATGGTGCGCTCTTTTGCTGCTGAGACAGGGACTGTAGGAGGTTGGATGGCGCCAGGACACAGGTCCGTCCTGTGGGACGCCATAGCGGAGGAGGCAGCTGGGCATGTGGGTTGGGAGTTCGGAGGAGAGTCAGGACTAGAGATGCAGAGTGGGAAGCCGTCAGCATGTGGGGGTTATTTAAAGACATGAGCCTGTATGAGATCACCTTTTGTGTCTAGTCGTTCCGAAGAAGCATCAAGCGCAGTGTTTATTTTCATAGCTGCAAAGACCCAGGTGGCCAGGCTGTGGTGTGAGGACCCTCCAGCCATGCTCACAGCTGTGTGTCATGCTCACAGCCTTAGTACCAGGTTCTGCTTCAAGTTCACTTCTGTCTCTGACACTTGCACTGCTCCCCATTTGGTGACCTTTTTAAAGACACGTGGAGTGACAGACATGGTGAGAAGTCTGTGCAGTGGTTGCTGGTGACGCTGTGTGTGGTGGCTTCAAGACTCAGAGCTGAGGTCCTGGATGTTTGGTTGGCTCTCCCCTTGTGGGCACAAGATGGGAGTGTTTCAGGCCTGACTGACGCGGACCTGCCCTTGGACAAGGAGTAGCGGAACTGGCCGAAAGGGAACTGAGTTTTAAAGGAAGTTGGTTAAGAATCTGTATGATTCTATGAAAGGGGCGCTGATTCTATACAAGGGATCTCTGATTCTATGTAAGGGCTAATAAAATGACATATTTTAAGGGTCTAGTAGAGGACCTGGCTGATCATTATTTCAGGGACTGGTAGAGAGAGGGGACCAGTGTATGATGCTGTTCTTAGGGGCATTGGCTAGGCCCTAATTAACCCAAGGGGATGTCACTGGTAGGTCCCCAGCACAATAATGGACAGTGCAGGTTGGACATTGGGATATTCAAGGTAATATTTATTTGAATTTATAATTAAGGATAGAATGGAAGTAGCTGGATCATCACAGAAGGAAGGAGAGCATTTTGGAGGGACACTTTTAGGGTTCTCCAGAGGAAATAGAGGGCAGGCTGCCTTGTGGGAAAAGTCCTTAAAGCCCCCCAACCCATCTGTGATTCTGTGTTCATCAGGTGATCTTCTGATCTCAGGTTCCTCTAATAAGTAGGTTTTCCTGTTGCGAAGAGAATGCACTGACTGACCTCCTTGAATGCTCTGGTCCCCTTGGCTGCTGTAATTCTCAACTTAAAACAAGACAGTGAACCTGGGAAGCCCATAGACATCCTGTCTATGTGTTTGGGCAGCGTGAGCCTGTTCCCCAGATCTCAGTCACCCAGCTGTGACCTGCAAAGGACACAGGACAAGGGAACAAAGGCCCCAGTTACACCAGGTTTTGTAGCCTACTGGTCTGCTGACCACAAGCTGGCGATTTCTGGGCCTCCCTGGGCACCTTACTGTACTAACAGATCAGTGTTATCGGTTGGTTGAATTCCTCATTTCCACGCTAATAAACCAATTGGACCCACCCAGATGGCCTCTAGAAAGGCCTCTCCATCTCTGACAGTATGTGAACTTGAGATTTGCTCCACTGTCAAGTACTTCCTCATGTGAGAAACCCCTGAATCCTCTCCCATCTATCCAAAAATGTCAAAATGTCAGAGGAAATACCAGAATCACCGAGTTGTTGAGGAAGACACAGATGGTGAGGTTAATAATAACTAAAGCTTCCATAGCACTGGCTGTGAGCTCAGCACCGAGCAAAGCATTTGCATTTATTCACTGATTTGACCCTCATCATAACCCTATTAGGCAGGTAAAATTATCGATCCCATTTTACAAATGAGGACACTGAGTCTCAGAAGAATACGCTCACTTCCCCGAGGTCTCACAGCTTATAGGTAGTAAAGCTGGAATTCAAAGGCAGTTTAAGTCTAAAGCCAAATGTCTGCCTGTGTGGGTACGGGACCCCGGGTGTAAAACGTGGGATGTCTCTCGCCACACTTCCCCCGTGGGCTTCGTTCCCCCACGCTGCAAGGCCGTCCGTCTCAGTCCAGACCAAGTCAGTGCCATCTAGGGCAGACGCCCAGCAGTAAGCCAGGCACGCGGTGATGACAGCACTCCAGGGTCTCTGGTTTGAGGCATGGCTCCCATCCTCTTTTCCACTGTCCAGAGCAGTGACAAGTGACGTGATGAGGCCTGACATTAGCAGCCTACGCCATGACCCACTCAGCCCGCCAGCTTCACCCCAACCGGACGCTGTTCTCTAAGCCAGGTCCAGCAGCCGGACCCTGCTGACCCCTCGTCAGCCCTCAGACCGAGCCAGGATCCGATGAACTTCCAGAGGACCTGATGCTAAAACAGGATAGGGTTTTTGTTCTCTGAGGAGCCCCGGGGCTGGCGCAGCGTGAGGCCGGGAGGAGGAGATCAGTATTTAACTGAAGGATAAACCAGTGGATGGTTCTAGTTTGCCCCCCCTTGGTGGCACCTAGCCAGGGGGCGATACGCCTCTGTGGTTGGGGTGAGCTCAGGTCTCTCTTCCCCAGGAGCTCCACGGGCTTCTCCTGAACTCAGGGAAGGGGTGCTCTGAGGCTCCAGGGGAAGCCAGAGGGGACTGGGCTGCCCCCGGGTCTGGAATCAGAGAGACAGGGAGACGAGGGTGGCTAGGCCACTGAGGTCATTCATGGTTTCAGGGGAAAGGACATTTACCAAGCAGAATCTGTTTCCTGTTTTAATGCTTACTGGTAGCAATAGTTATTGATTTGAATATCAAACCTACTTTAAGATCCAAATGCATTTTTAAAATAAGCTCAGTTTTAGTTTACCAATATTGCCAATATAATTTTAAGTTCTTTGGTTTTTATTATTCATTCTTCAAGGCGTATGTGTGTGGCGAGGTGCATGTAGAAGCCTCGGGGCTTTGCTCTTTCCAGGTCCTTCAGAATCCCGGCCGCCCTGGTTTGCTAGGTTTTCGTGGCAGTAAAAGGCAGCAGCGTGTTTGAGGTGGGTCGCCTTTCTTGCCTCCCATTAAGCAAGTACCTCTTGGATTATATAGGTAACCCCAGAAGAAGATGAAAGGAAAAAGAGGCGGCGGGAAAGAAATAAGATCGCAGCCGCCAAGTGCCGAAACAAGAAGAAGGAGAAGACAGAGTGTCTGCAGAAAGTGAGTGTCTTCTCGCCTTTCCCCGCCCTCTTGCTCACGCCTGTCCCTGGCCAACCTCGTGGCACTCGCTCTCAGAAGGGGAGTTACAAGCCCCCTACTCAGAGGTGTTTTCAAAACCCAAGCAGGGCGTCGTAGCTGGGAGCAGAAATGCCAGCGGCTGAATGAAATGTGCTCTGGGTGTATACAAGCAGGTGTGCGAATGAAACACCCCACTGCAGCCTTGGCCAGTCCCTACACGCCCGGCGGCTCCCAGGCTGCAGGATATGTCAGCCCAGTTACAGAGGCTGCCCTTGCCCCTTTGCCTGAGAAAAGGAAGCTGCCAGCTCCCATTTGGCTCACTATGAAATGCCTTTAATTAATCTCTTCAAACAAGTTATTTCCTTAATCCACAAGCAGTAGTTAAACTTTCTTGGTGTTCCTGTGTGTAGCCCTTCTTGGCTCACCCAGTCGGCGCAGCTCCTGGCTGCATTCAGCCGGTCCCACTTCCCAAAGGGAACAGCGTCTGTGGCAGGTGGGATGAGTCGTGGTGCAGCCTTTCCAGTGGTTGTGGCCCTTCCCCCTGGTGTGGACAGGCCGGGGCAGAGTCTCACCCGGATTCGACAGGTCCTCAAGGGTTCTGTTGATTGCTTTAGGGACTCAGTGAAAATTAAGACATTTTGTGTGTAGCTGTATACATTCTTTCTGGGGAGAGGAGTTCCCATTGAAATTAGTAACTCACAGAAGACGAAGCATCATGAGTCTGGAGTTTGTCCCAGCCCCCAAGGCCCTTGTGGGTCCAGAAGACCTGCACATGGGCTGTTGGGCTCATGCAAAGGAGATCCCTGAGCCATTGGTTCCACTGCAGCTCCATTACTGTCAGAGTCACACCCTGCTCAAACCTTGAGTGGAATCTCAAGGGCATCTCAGAAGAAGCCTCTAAGTTCAAGAAGACCCCGGCTTCTCCAGGGTCTGGATGCTCCCGAACCTAAGGCTACCGCCCCGGCTGTGTGGGGCAGCGCTGTGGCAGGGAGCCAGTGGCACTGGCTCTGCAGGCCATTTCCAGCCTGATGAGTCCCTACGTGCCCCAGGTGCCACCCTGCCACCCAGAGACCATTCCCTGGTCACCCGCTTCTTGCTGGAACTTGGCTCCATTCTTACTAACTCTGTTGCTTATCCCCTAGGAGTCGGAGAAACTGGAGAGTGTGAATGCCGAGCTGAAGGCCCAAATCGAGGAGCTCAAGAACGAGAAGCAGCATTTGATATACATGCTCAACCTTCATCGACCCACATGTATTGTCCGGGCTCAGAACGGGCGGACTCCAGAAGATGAGAGAAACCTTTTTATCCAACAGATAAAAGAAGGAACACTGCAGAGCTAAGCAGCTGTAGTTATGGGGGCAAGTGGGGACTCCTCGTCGAATCCTCCTTCTACATCCAAACCCTTGCAGCCATTGGAGATCTGACTTCCTGTGCACCTCTTGAATCCCAGTCGCAAAGCACCGGGGAGGCAGGAGGGCTCCGTGACTTGGCGGGGCCTCTCCACTCTGCCCCCGAGCGGACTTCGGACCAGAGCAAGGGCAATTTTTGCCTCAACTCCAGGATTTAGGCCTTAACATACCAGCCATTCTTGGGTTCTCCAGATGGCCCCTGGTTAGGGTCCTACCCACCTTTCGTCTGGATTCTACAAAAACCAGAATTCCCACCATTAGGGTTCCCGCAGAAGAAGTGTCTGTACCTTGGGTGGGTGGGGTGGGGTGGGGCCACCTCCTCCGTTGCCACTGCCACCGTCACTTGTAGGGGACATGGAGTGAGAATGGCATTTAGCAAAGTTGGACAATGGCCAGGGTTGTGCTTCTAGCAAATATGCTGTCATGTACAGGAACCGTTGTGTGCAAGGCATTTGTCGCATTACTAGGCACTGTGCGCTCCCGATGTCTGTTCCGATGACACCGGTGTGATTTTTTCATTACTTTCCTCAGGTCTGGTTTCTGAGGGTTCGAGGGGCTATCACCATGTGCAGTGTTTCACAAAATGTCCAGGTGGCCGGAAGAGCGTGTCAGCCCCGGGAGAACAGGGTTCTGCTAGCCAGCAGTGCCGTTCTGTGCCAGCCAAGGCGGCCTCCTGTCCCTGGGCACCCAGGCTGTAACGCAAAATTCGTGGGCATGGCTGCGGCAGGTCCTCTGTCACTAGGTGAAAGCAGGAAGTCCACGTGCCAGAGGGTTAGGACGCTCTGCTCAGTGACTTAGGTCAGGACTCATTTCCAGGCTGTGAGAGCCAAAGAGTATTCCCTTTTCCTTTTCCTGCAGTTGGAAACCACGTGCAGTGGAGGCACATTTGAAGCCAGGTGATGCCTGGGCGTTAGCATTACTGGATGTTGATGGCGTCGTGTTTGTCACGCGGATGTTTGTAGAAATCTGGCCCAGAGCTTGACACAGCTGTGAGAGGTCGCTCACACTGGCCACAAGGACTCTGGTCTGTTTCAATTCTGATGTTTCCGTGAAATCCTCAGAGTGTTCAATGCTACACAATAGTATCAATGCAATTTTCTGTAAGAGAAAATGTTACTTATTTATCCTAGTATTCCTAACTTGTCAATATAATAAATATTGAAACCAAGATGCAGTAAACTTCAGTGTTGTGCTGGTTTCTGTTCTTTGAAACCGACTGGTGGTTGAAACCCAGTCACTGTGCAGTCCCTTTCCTCTCCGTGGGGGTGGGGGGTGGGAGGGTTACTTGGCCTTGAACATCCCCCGAAGGCCGCTTTGTTCTCTGGGCGCCTGCCGCAGGCCAGGGGAGCAGCCTCCCAGTCCCGCTCCTCAGTCCGCGGCATCCGATGCTCAGTTTCTCATTAACGGACCCTGGGACGCAGCATCCCGTATATCCCTCAGGCTGCTTGGTGTGGAGACAGAATTCTGATGTAAAATCTGAATTGCTAAATACCTCAACGATCGCTTTCTCTGAGGGTATGGAGCCTGAGATGTACACCTGTCGCTCAGCTCGAGCCGTGGACACCTTACGTTCAGCCACGGAGCTTCTCTCGGAGTAGCCACTTCGGTTAGATTCATAACAACACCCAAGTGCGTGTCTCATTGGTGCAAGTGTACGTGAGTCCACTATCACGAAAACAGTGAGGAGAGGCTGGGGAAGAAGGAGGAATAATTTTAGGTGGGACAGGTGTGGTGATTTAAAGAAAAGGATTCCACCTAATTTTCTGGAATCTCCCGGGCATACGATCCCTCAGGTCTGGAACAGAACCAGGTTCCTTTGCTCTTCACCTGTGCACACATGTAACACGGGCTAGAAATAATAATTGGCTACTCTGTTACCAATGCTTCAGAGAGATGCTTGCTTCATTAAATGTTAAGATTCGTGCACAATAACGGTGTCTGCTCCTTTGAACTCGTGTATGGTTCCATTAAACTGGCACCTGTGATACAGGTGTCCTCCTCTCGCTGCTCTAATTGTCCATCAGGGGTAGTTACTAATCTGTAAAAACCAGCTGGTGGGAGTGCCCCTCCCCCATCTTTGAGGAGGTAATCTTTTCCGTATCCTGGTGGAGGGGCAAAAATTCCCTGCATTTACCCTCTGGTTGTGGGTATGGGAGCCACCGATCAGCTGTTAGGAAACTCAAGACACTTTTTAAGCTGCCACGGACAATGGAAATGAGGAAGGAAAGGGTTGGTGGCTGTGGCAGGAAAAGTTGATCTGAGAAATGCACTGTATATGGTTAATGAAACTAAGTTCTTTTAACAAATGCATTAAAAGTAGTTTTGTTTTCTGTAACCAAGTTTATGTTTTGATACTTGAATAAAAACAAAAGTGGATGACTTTGTATTTACCATCAAGGTATTTAGTTCGTCTTGTTTCACATTCCACAGTGAAGAGAAGAGGTTGGGGGTGGGGGACCCGGGAGAACGAACTTGGGTGGGACCTCTGCCCGAATGACATCTTTTCGCCGGGCTGCCTCCGTGGCGACAGCATACTGCCAGGTCGGGAAGCCCATTCCCCCTCCTCCTGTCCCCTTGCCTCTCCCTGGGATCTGGCCCGGTACCTGTTTCGGAGTAAAGAGATTTGATGGGTTCTGGCCCAGCACAGGGGTTCTGGAGTGAAACTTCCACTTTCTGCCAAGGGCCAAAATGCTGACACTTTTTCATCTTTATCCCAATTTCTCTGCACGGGCTTTTAACAAACCCTCGGAACCGAACCCAAGCTTTCTCCTCTCTTCTGCACCCCATACTGTCTGGTCGTGTTCAGGCAGCTCCTCTATGGAGTGGACAGGGTTGTGGACCTGCCCGAAGTGAAACCTCGCAGGCGGCCAGGGTTGCCCACTGCACACCCTCCTGTACTCTCGTGGGGGCTCCAGCCCCAGGGGCTTCTCTAATCCAACCTGCTTTCAGGAAAGAATCCACACCGAGCCTTCAAGGCCAGTTGAGGACTAATGCCAACAAGAACTAACGTTTATTGAGACAATATGCTCAACCCTTCATATGTGTTAAATCATTCAATCCTCTCAGCAACTGTTATGATCCTCATTGTACAGATGAGGAAGTAGAGAGCTGAGTGGCTTGCTCAAGGTCACACAGTTGACCTTTCTAAAGCTGAAGCCTATGTTTTTTAACAGCCAGCATTCTGAGCAGGGGGTGTGTGCGTGTGTGTGTATGTGTATATGTGTATGTGTGATTAAAATACACATAACATTTACCATTGTAACCACGTTAGAGTGTGCAATTCAGTGGCATTCAGGACATCCCCAATATTGTGCAACCATCACCACTAGTTCCAGAATTTTTCCGCACCCCAAAAGGAAGTTCTGTGTCTCTCTTTTTTAAAGATTTTATTTATTTTAATTTTTTTAGAGAGGGAAGGGAGGGAGAAAGAGAGAGAGAGAAACATCAATGTGCAGTTGCTGGGGGCCATGGCCTGCAACCCAGGCATGTACCCTGACTGGGAATTGAACCTGAGATGCTTTGGTTTGCAGCCTGCGCTCAATCCACTGAGCTACACCAGCCAGGCCTCAGGAAGTCCTGTGTCTCTTAAGTAGTCACTCTGCATGCTCTCCTCACTCCAGTCCTAGGCAACCAAGAATCTAAATCTGTCTTCATGGATTTACCGTTGGAGTCCTACAACAGGTGGCCTTTTATATCTGGCTTCTTTCCCTTAGCAAAACGTTTCCCAGGTCCATTCATGTTGCGGCATGTGTCAGTACCCTTTTTGGTGGCTGGAGGTCATTCCACTGTAGGGGTAGACCAAATTTTGTTTATCTACTCATCTGTTGATGGACAGGGATATTTTAACAGAAAGATAGTCTTTATCCACAAAGAATGAATCTCTAAGGTGGGAGATAGGAGGGCTGGAAACAGGGGTCTTTCTCAGAACTTTTAAGTAACAGCTTAGAAATCACAACCCTGGCTGGTGTAGCTCAATGGATTGAGCGCGGGCTGAGAACCAAAGTGTCACAGGTTCCATTCCCAGTCAGGACACATGCCTGGGTTGCAGGCCACGACCCCCAGCAACCGCACATTGATGTTTCTCTCTCTCTCTTTCTCCCTCCCTTCCCTCTCTAAAAATAAATAAATAAAATCTTTAAAAAAAATCATGTATTCCCATGCCTGGCTCTGTGGGAACGGCGACAAGGCAGAAGGTTCTGCAGGAGGTCCTTTGGCAGGCTCCCGGGACTGAAGCTGACACAGGCCGTTTGCGCAAGTACGATAGAGCGAAGGACTGGAGGCAGCCCCCTGGAAAATCTGATTCTCAGCCCCGCCACTATCTCGCACTCTCTCTATAATACACACACATACGTGGAGTTAATTATGCAATTTCTAACAATGTCTTCTTGGACGTAGTTAACTCAGTCCAGTTTGAAACCATTAGGTCGGCCCAAGCTTCCTTTGTGAGGCAAACTGCCTCAGTGGTTCCGAAAAAAAGACCTTAGAATTAGCGGGGCCTGCATTCCAACACGGCCGTCACTGCCGTTAGTTGTGTGAATTTAGGCAGGTGATACGACCTCGATTTCTTCACCTGTGAAAGGGGCAGTAGCGACGGTACCAAACTCAACGGATTCCTCCGACCCTGGGGCAAGAACACAGCGCGGTGCCTAGAGGAAGCAACTGTTACTGTTACAGGCCGTCGTCGTCGACCTTTACCGGGGTTTTATGAAAGGATAGGCTAGGGACCAAGACTGCCAATTCTGGGTTATTTGGTACAATTAAATGTAGAGCTCAAATGGTTCAAATGTATCCCATCCTCTCACGTCCCTACAGTCTTGTCCAGTTTTCACTTTGGAACCCACCTGAGTCCTGGCAGGGTGGGCCTGTCCTCTGTGGGGGCAGCCTGGGGAAGTGATGGGGGCCCTGCCCTGAGGGGGTGGCTAGGGGGTGAGAACAAAGGGGTATGTGACAGTGACAGGTCACAAAGGGCAGCAGAGGATAAATATGGCTGTGTAGGGGGTTCAGGCTGAGAGTGGAGCTCACAGCCTCTCGGGGAAATAAAAAATCAGAGGTGGAGGCGAGGTGAGGCCGAGTGGACTCCCACTCTACACCCCACACCCTTGGAGACGGTCAGCCTGGGGTCCAGGGACCCTCTAGCACCCCACCCATGCCTCTGGGAGGCTGGGAGGCAGAGGGGGTCCTGCGGGGCTGGGCGGGGAGGAGAGGCCTGCCCTAGAGCCCGCTGTGCGACGCGGGAGCATCGCCGCTCCCTCTTCTGCCTGTGAGGCCAACAAGGAGGAGACCCGAGGGTGGGGGGCCTGCCTTGCCAGCACTGCCTGCCGTGATAAAACAGAGCCGGGAAGCGTGAGCCTCTGTTGCCATAACCCGCAGCCCAGTGCGGCTCCGGCCTAGCCATGTTCAGCAGCGTCATGGGGAAACTGCAGCAACAGCTGTACAAGGGGGAGTACGACATTTTCAAGCACTCGCAGGTGTTTGAGGGCGACTTCATCCAGACCACGAAGAGGGGAGAAGTGATCGACGTGCACAACCACGTCCGCGTGGTGACCGTGGGCATCACCTCCACCAGCCCCATCCTCCCCCTGCCGGACGTCATGCTGCTGGCCCGCCCGGCCCCTGGCTCTGAGGAGCACGTGGGGCGTGGCAAAGGCCCCAAGGGAAAAGGCCACAAGGCCTCGAAAACCTTAGAGCTCACCAGGCTGCTTCCCTTGAAGTTCGTGCGCATGTCCGTCCACGACCGTGAGAAAAAACAGCTGCGCCTGAAGTTCCCCACTGGCCGCTCCTGCTACCTGCAGCTCTGTACCCCTGTGGGTGCTCGGGAAGACCTCTTTGCCTGTTGGGAAAACCTGGTTTACATCCTGCGACCACCAGTGGACAGTAACCGCGGTCCCTGCGCCACCCTAGCTGGGGACAGGACATGCGCACCCGCGTTCGAGGAAGAGACCAGGAGGAGCCTGGCAGCGGCCGATGTCCCGGGGAAAGAGCATCAGGACCAGAGCAGCACAGGAAGCTTCTACATGGTCTCTGAGATGGCTGGAGCCACCTCTGCAGCTTTTGCTGGGGGGCAGGGAATCCAACATGACTCCCACGGGTGCACGGCCGTGCCTGATGTAGCCGTGCCTGATGTAGCCGCCCCAGACACCAAACCTGCAGAGCCTGACACAGTGTCAGTGGCTGGGGCGGCAGCAGACACCACGGCAGGCGCTTCGGGCACAGCGATAACTGAGGCTGCTGCCCCTGAACAACTAAGCGTGGCCCTAGCTGGGGCAGCCACCCGGGATCCAGGAGGAAGCAGAACCAGCATAGCCATTGCAGCTGTTGCCAACACGTCGTCCCCCAAGAGCATTAAAATGGCCTGGGCGGGTGCTGCAAACTGGCCCTCAGAGAGTGCTGCCAGCACCAGCCTCTCCTCAGAGACCAGCCTGATTGCTGCAATGGCAAAAGCAGAACCTGCCAGCGAGGCTGCTGGAGAAACAACTAACGATTGTGCCACAGGACCTCTCCTCTCGAGCTTGCCCAGGGAAGGTGGTGTGCGTGAAGGGGCCAGAGGGCAGCAGCGAGGGCCCCCGGCCAGGGCCGAAGCCCCAAAGAGCAGAAGGGATGGGAGGGAGCAAAGGCCAAGGGAGAGAGCTCTCAGGAGCCCCCACCACCACAGGGCGACAGAGAGCCCCCACAAGCCGGGCGGTGACAAGATACTCCGAAAACCCTCTGGCCGGTCCTTAGCACGGCAGAGGAATGACAAAAAGGAGAAAGGCGGTGGCAGCCCGAGGGGCAGCAGGCCTGTCCCCAAGGACTCCAGGACCTCTCTCAAATCGGGGAGGAGCTTGTCCGCAAGTAGTTCGGCTTCCACAGCCCAGAGGCTCAGCAGGATCAGCTCTTTCTTGAGGACCATGAAAGCCAATCTCACTACGAAAACAGTGGCCTCGCCACGCGGTAAGGGCGCGGACAATTCGACTAAGACAATGGAGAGGAACACAGAAGCCATCACAGAGATAGGAGAGCATGGGCAGGGGCTGGAGGGGATTGACAGGGTGGCACCTGAGGTCATGGATACCTGTGATCTTTGACCCCTGTTGCTGGAACCCAGGACTGGAAGCTGCAGAGGAGACCTGGGCTCAGGGGAGGATCCCTGGAGCGCCTATTCCAGCTTTCCTTACTGCAGTTTAAATAAAGATGGGTACAGTCTGAATATAATCGATCCAATGCTGCTTTCTGTCTGAGTTTCTGTGTCCTATGGTCTAGCGGTGACCTCACAGTGGATTCCGTGATGTCAACTGTGCTGCAGCCAGAGACCCCAGCGTCCAGTCACGAGTGGCCCCACCTCATTGCTGCTGGGCCTGGCCAGCAGGAGGGCTCCCCCTCACCTCAGCCCCTTTCTGGCCTTGCTCCCCAGGGCCACGACTGAAAGCCAGACCATCCGCCATCGCCCTGTCCTTTGTACAAACATTCCTCCCCGCCACCAAAGGTGCATAGGCAAAGCAAGAACAGGACTCACATCCCCTCGGGCCACTCGGGGAAGGGAAGGGAAGGGGGTACACCAGCACTGGTTGGCAGTCAGAACAGGGGGCATTCTCATCTAGACTTAGCAATCCATTCCTAGGTATGGACCTTGGAGAAACCTGTGAGAATGTTTCTAGCAAAAATAACGTAATAGCAAAACACTGGAAACAGCCAAAATTTTCAACAACGGACTTGAAAATACAGTAGGATGTTAGCAGAGATAAACTCATAATTTAAAAAAAGTCACAAAATAGGATATAATTCCACTTAGAGAACAGTTCAAAACCAAGATCAAACATGTACCCTGTAGAGTTTGCTAAAACCAGTCAAAAAGAGAACAGCAGACACAAAATTCAGCCCAGTGGTTTTCTTAAGGGGGAAGGTGAAGAAATCAGATTGCTGAGCACAGGCTATCAGTGCTGCTGGGAACTGGTCTGTTTCCTAAGCAGAGCAGTGGGTGCACGGGCGTTGTATGTTTTTCCATACTGTAATGCTCTGAAATCGGAGATATGATCACCATGGCAGTTGTGATGACATTATTGCCTCAGAGATACTGCAGCCAATGCCTTTTCCTGTATGCTCACTCTGATGTTTGCACAAAAGTACATCTGAAAGGTCTAGTCCCTCTAAATTCCACTGATTCTAGGTCCAGTAGGACAAGAACCCTTCTTTGTTATTAGGGAAAGAAGGAGTGAGGCCCCTGTTTTACAGGTGAGAATGCCGAGGCTCAGAGAAGGTAAGTCGCTTCCGCCCACTTCTTCACCACGGCCATGGCTCTGGCATGCGGAGGAGGCAGAGCAAACAGATCTAAGGAGCTGACCTGGCCTAAGAACCTGAGACACCAGCATTCCTACCAACTTGCTCCAAAACTCAGCCGAGATGAGCACCAAATTTACAGGATGGGAGGGCGAGGTGCAGTTGCCGGGGAGTTAGCTGGGTGGCAGACTCCAGGGAACTCTCAGTGAGCACACAGCCCTTTGCTGGTTTTATCTCAGGAGGGTCCAGACCCCCCCAGAGCTGTGTCTGGCCCCCAGACTTCTGTCCCAAGCCTCTGGCATGACCTGCATTGCAGCCACAAACAGACCGCCCGCCTGGAATTCCACGGCCCACTCCTGACGGGCTGCCTCTCTCTGCAACCCAGTCCTCTCCCAGCTGCTAATTAAACTTTCCAAAGCCAGGCTCAGAATGGTTTCTCTATACCACGTCTTCAGGAACTTCTCCTTCCAGGGTTCCGAAAACAAATCCTCACGCTTCTCGGGAAGGAAGTTATGACCCAGGGGACGCATCCTCGTCGCTTGGGTCCTCACAGTTTGTGACTGTCACAGACCTCCTCACGGGTCGGGGGTGGGAAGGTCTCCTCTGTTGGTCGAGGCGATGGTGGGCTGTGGAGGGGCAGGGCTGAGGCCTACACACATCCCCCATCTTTGGCCAAACAGACTCCTGAGCCCAGGATGGGGGATTATTACACTGAGTCAAGGTATTCTCAAGAGAGACGGCAGCGCTCCAGAGGTTAGAGATGAAATGGCCCTGTGAGGAAAACAACCTCAGAATCATTAACCCGGAGCTTCAGAGAAGCCTGGGGGCCTCGGGGAGACAGAATTAATGGTTTACTCCTGACCAGCTTTTCCCTGGACTCGAGGTGGGGAATTTGCAAAAAGATCACATCACATTCCTTTCACCTTATGATTTCCACGCAGGCAGGTGCAGGTAAACACTAATCTGGAAGGGAAAAAAATGCAGCCAACACATGTGCACAGCACTTAGCCTTTTATATCACTCAATAAGCGTGCCCCTTTGGATGCTCCCATCCTGCTGTTCTGCAGATAAGCAAACAGGAATTAGAGCAATTAAAGGACTCGTCCCAGGCGGCAGGTGACGGTGCGGAGAGAGCAGTTCCGGGACAACAGCTCTCTTGCAGTGCCTACTATGTGCCATCCCTGGGTCCCACACGGAGGCGCAGAGACGGTGGGGGAAACAGGAGTGACAGGTATGGGGGGAGACGCGTGTCGGGGAACAGGAGCCATCCGGAGGAGAGGTTCTGGGACACGGGAAGGAGTTGTGGGTGGGGAAAGGTTTCCCAGAGGAATTGGGAGTTTGCCAGGTGGAGGAAGTGTAGGGAGCAGGGGGGAGGCGGGGGAGGTGCAGAGGAGGGGTCGGGAGAGCATCAGGCCACGGGAAAGAACGTGTGCAAAGTGCAAGGGCTTGAAACACCACGCTGCGTTGAGCAACTGCAAGTATTTCAGTGTTGTTGGTCGGAGGGCCGGGGGGGAAGCAGCCGTGAGGCTGGAGGGTCAGGCAGCCCGATCCTGGCGGCGGTGTGGGGTGTGTGTTGGGGTGGGGGGGCTCGGGATAGGAGGGGGCAGGGCTGGAGTGCTGGGTCAATGTCCCAGAATTTAGAGAGTCACTAATGGGAGTCAGATTGCTCTAGCCCCAGGGTGGGGAGTTCATGGACAGGGGACCTTGGAGACAGGGGATCCTCCAGGAAGCATTAATCCGGGTCAGAGAAGGGGAGCCCCGAACCGTGGGTGGTGCTGGGGAGACGGGAGGGGCAGAGTCAGGGATTTGAAGAGATGGAAGAGGACCATTTCCACCCCACACCCGGGAGGACAGGGAGCCCGGGTCTAGGCTCAGCACTCATCTAAAGGAGGTGGACATGATGAAAGTGGATGGGTCTTCCCCTGTGCTGATTGATTAGTGGTCAGTAAAGGGGGCGGCAAGAAGAGAGGCTCATGGGAAAGCAAAGAGGAATATGTCAAGATATAAAACAGTGTCTCCTAGATGGCTAAGGGGTAAAACATCAGGAGAAGCCCTCCAGCGGGGCTGTGGGGCCGCTGGCCTTGCAGATGTCAGAGAGGAGAGAGCCCCCGAGCGGCCCCCTGCTTCTCGGGGCAGGACGCATTCTCACCCAGCCACCCTCGGACCGCAGAGTCGCGGTGCAGCGCTCCTTGTGGCCAAGCGTGGCTACTGCAGGTTGCTGCGTGAAGGAGGGGGGCCTTGTCTGAGGCAGACAGAGTCCAGCCACCTTTTCCCTTTGTCGTACTTCATGCTCATCCCAGAGGCGTGAGGGGGCAGGGAAGGGTGGGGGGTCTGGGGAAGGAGGACGTGTCTCATCCAGGCTGCGTGGCTCCCAGCCCCTGGCAGTGGAATTGCAGAGTGTGGAACGACCCACAAGACAGGTCCCCGAGAGATGGGGAGTCAGACTCAAGAGGACAATGAGCGACCACCAAACATAGGGGTGGGGTCCCTCTGCTGCCTGGAAGTCACTTGAGAAACCATTGTGGAGCGCCTACTATGGGCAAGAGAGGAAATCAGGGACCACAAAGATGTTCACACGCACAGCCCAGTAGTGTTAACACAAGTCGAAGTGTTTGGGCGGCCTTGGGCGGAGTTCGCAGGGGAGGCAAGAGCCCAGCAGAGAGACGATGGGCTGAGCGCTCCTGGCAGAGCGGACGGCACGGCAGAGAAAGAGAGGCATCTGGGAGACGGGGCGGGGGGGGGGGCTTGGGTGATGCTCACCCACGAGACAAGTGCAGCATGCCCAGGGTGTGATGCGCTCGGGGGAGAAAGAGGGATGTGGGGCGGGGACGAGGGGGTGGTAGGAAAGGAGGCCGTGATGTGACGACAGAACCAGTAATCGGGAGAGAGGGGCAGGGAGCTGGGCTCTCCAGGAGTGAAAGGACAAGGCAAGGCCAGACGCTTCCCCTTTGCCAATCGAAAGAACTTGAAGTGTGTAATGGAGGCGTGTGACTTCCCGCACACTCTCCGTCCAAGTAGACGTTTTCCCACAGGTGTGCCAAGATATCGATACCCCTCATCCTGAGGGTGCCTGGGCACCCGGCCAGTCGGCTGTGGCTGTCCAGAGCCCATCATCCCAATGTTGTCATTTTCTACGTGTGCCACAGACAGCAAAAGGTCAGGAAGCATCTTTCTAGATGTGCACACAGGCGTGCACGGTGCAATTTGTGGGCGAACCACGGGGCGCAGCAGCAGCAAGGAGCAGCTGAGAAGCGCCTGCCTTGGACAGCCAGCCAGCTGGCCCCACGAGGCCTCGGCTGCTGCCGACCACGTCACCCCGTTTAAATCTGGGCTGGCCTGGTGACTTGCTTATAACCAATTGAACAGGGTAGAAGCTGGGCGGGGTGGCTTCTGAGACTCGGTCAGAAGCAGTGTCCACTTAGTTATCCAGGGGCCGGTGCTCCTAGCGTCCCAAGTCTTCTGCTCCGTGTTGTATCTTTCCTGGTGACATTGTCTCAGCCCCCAGGTCCCTGTCATGCAACTTACACCGGTCCAAGGAGAAATTAGAAAAATGAGAAAAAATAGCAAATTTTCATAAAACTTCCATAAAACTAAATTAGTTTTTTCTAAAGATTTTTAAAATTTATTTTTAAAGAGAGGGGAAGAGAAGGAGAAATAGAGGGAATGAAACATAAGTCTGTGGTTGCCTCTTATACCCCCCCACTGGGGACCTGGCCCCCAGGCATGTGCACTGACCGGGAATTGAACCAGTGATGCTTTGGTTTGCAGGCCCACCCTTAATCCACTAAGCTACACCAGCAAGGGCACTAACTTGGTTTTTTAAAAAACCTATCCTTTGCTTCGAGATCAGGCCCTCCTTTCTGTTTTTAACGTTTTGTTGGCAGTATAACATACCGGCAGAAAAGGGCACGAGTTGATGGCACTTCACAAAACGAGCAACCCGGTGCAGCCGGCCCCTGCCAAAGAATTTGAACGCCACCACGCTCCTGGAGGCCCCCCACGCTCTCGTCCAGTCACTGCCCCGAGGGTAACCCGTTCTCACTTCTCACACCGTAGGTTCATCCTGCTTGCTTCCTCAATGATACATAAACGGAATCACCTAGTATGTACTCTTTGGCTGGTTTTGTTTCCTTGACATCCTATTTATGAAATCTGCCCATCATTTTTTCTCTGGCAATAAGAATTCATTACAGCTACAATAATTCCATCTGGCAAGAATTCAATACATTGTAAGTATTCCATTGTGTGACTATGCTGCAATTTATCTGCTCATTCAGCTGTTGACGGGCACTTGGCTCTTTTCCAGTTTGGGGCTATTAGGAAGAGTGCTGGTCTGAACATTTCTGTACGGATCTTTGGGCAAAAAAAGTGTGGAAACTTCCACTGGGTGCGCAGTTAGGAACGGAACTGAATATACGCATGTGTTCAGCTCGGATGGCACCACCAAGCCATTCCCACAGCCGCCTGTGCCTCTCGGGCTCCCAGCGGGGTGCACGGGAGTTCTGGTTGTTCTGCGCCCTTGCCAACACCTGATGCTGCTCATCTTCTCCATTTTAGCCTTTCTGATGGGATGCACCACTTTTTCTTCTTCTTTTAAATAATGAAAGACACTTTAAAAAAAGTAATATGGTGACCTTGAAAATAGTAGTTTTGTTTTAATGTCCTTAATGGGCGAAATTAAAATTTGGCATCCAAATCAGTTTTGAAATCTCAAACATCTCCAAAATCTTAAGTCTCATTTCTACTTTTCAAAGGGTTTTTCCCTTGCAAGGAGGCTTATGTTTTCAAACCTCTCATACTATCGTGTTCCAGCACCTTTTGCTTTGCAGCAAACTACCCCAAAACTTTGTGACTTAAAACAACAGCCTTTTCTTTCTTATATCTCAGATACCCTGACATCAGGAATCTGGACAGGGCTCATCGGCACAGTTCTTCTGCCACCCACGGTTTCCAGTGAGACTGGTCGGTACTCTGGTCGGAGGAGGTGAAGACAGCTTCCTGCAGGTGTTTGATGTCGCGAGGGGGACGGCCGGAAGGCGGGGCCCAGCCAGGACTGTGGACTGGAATGCCTAGGTGTGGCCTCTCCAGCACAATGGTCTCAGGTAGTCAGACTGGCTTCCCCCAAAGCAAGTGTCTGAGATCCCCAAGCGGTGGCTGCTTCTGACTGAGCCTCAAAGTCCCACAGCAAAAACTTTCTCCCCCATTCTATTGGTTACGAGCAAGTCACGAGGCCAGCCCAGATTTAAAGGGTGGGCAACGAGCCTCCACCTTTTCATAGGGACATGGCAAGATCACACTGTAAAAGAGCATGGGGGTGGGGGTGGTGACATTATTGTGGCCCTCTTTGGAAAAGACAGTTTGCCACGCTGTCCCCCCACCCCAGCCTGACAAAGTGAACAGTCAACCCGGCCACTGGAGGCCTGAGGACTCCTGAGGTGTCTGTGGCGGCCACCGGTCTCTCATACTTTTTCTTTCCTTATCTCCCTCTCTCACTCGCTTTCCTCCTTCCTCTTTGCACTTTGTTTTCTTAATCCCTTCTCTTTCTTCCCACTTGCAGTTAACTAAGCCCACAGGGACTCCCCTCCCCCCGCCACCCACTCATGTTTTAGGCCCTTCCTCCCGTTCTCTCCCCTCAGGTCTTCGAGCACTTTGCCCCGTGGGTGACAGATTACTGGGACCCCTCGCACCGTAGCTGGACAAGCCCAGAAGGGTCTTGGCTAATCCCAGAAGCACTTTACATATGAGGAAGTTGAAGCCTAGACAGGAGAGGGATTTTCCCAAGTCCTAGTTCAAGTAAGAAACAGAGTTCTGGCCAGCACAGCACAAAATATAGCCCACAGCGGGTCTCAAAGAGTGTCAACACTTGTTTTTCCATTTCTGACTTCCTGAAACTGAAGCTACTTGTTTCTGTTTCACGTTCACTGCCTCAATATTACAATGTTCTTTCAGCCTCTTGGTCAAGGGGTGAAATCGGTACTCTCAGGCGTCTTGCCCAGAGAGTCCTGTCCTAGCCCCGGCCCGGGTCCTGGCCTTCAGAAGTGGAGGTGGGGGGTTAGGGGGCTTGCAGATGGAGCAGCCAGCCCCCCTCCAACCATCTCATTGCAACCCAGACACAAGTAGGTCCTTTCTGGTCCCGAAGTCCAAGAATCGTCCGAACTCAAGCAACAACTAGCAGCCAGTTTGAACTTTTTCTGGGCATCCAGAGATGGTGAATTTAATTGAAGCTGATCTGACTAAAGTCAGGCTGAGGACAAATCTGCGGTGACCTAGGGCAAGAGGACAGGTCTGTGGCCAGGCCCAAGAGAAAGCAACTCCGTTACGTGAAAGTCAGTTTCCTGCCCTGGCTGGCATAGCTCAGTGGATTGAGCACAGGCTGCGAACCAAAGCATTGCAGGTTCGATTCCCAGTCAGGGCACATGCCTGGGTTGCAGGCCACGTCCCCAGTAGGAGCCACGTGAGAGGCAACCACACATTGATGTTTCTCTCTCTCTTTCTCCCTCCCTTCCCCTCTCTAAAAATAAATAAAATCTTTAAAAATTTTAAAAAAGTCAGTTTCCTCTGATAACTGCAAACAGGAGGAGGCAAGGGCCCAGAGAGGGGAGGCTGGGCCACCAGACGCCCCTCAGCACAGGGGCTGGACCTGGAAGGACAGGCAGGGGCTGGAGAGAATGCAAGGGTTGGCACATTGCTCTGAGATCTGAGCAGTGATGAGGTGGACGAGAGCCTGCTGGGAAGTCAGCCAGGAGCTAAGGTCACCCACCAGCTCAGCGCCTTCGGCCGCGGATATTCGGCACTACAGATCAGCACACTGTCAAGGAGTCATGCAGGGCCAACAGTGCGCACCCCCGAGGCTGCAGAAACAGCAGCTGCGGGGGACTCTTATTGACAAGAAGGGATCAAAACAATTCTTTTCATTGTTATAGCCTGCAACCTCCTTTAGAGGACTAGCCCCGTCTCGTTGTTTCTGGGTCCCTAGGCCTTGCCCAGAGCCCGGCATGCATTAGAAGTCGCATAAAGGTTTGTTCTGAGGACCTACAGTGGTCCACCAGTCATCCCCGTGCATCTAGGCACAGTGCCGCCAGGGCAGTCCATCCTTCCCTGCAGCCCTCCCCTGCCTCCCACAGCCCTCTGCCAGCTCTAGCTGATGGGAGGCCCAGGACACGGAGAGACACCTCTAACGGGGTTTAGTCCCTCCTTGCCCACAGATGCCAGACTAGCAGGCCCTCCTCAGGGGTCCTCTACTGGGAGTGGTAGAAACAAGGCGTGAGGGTCCCATGACTTTCTTCTTGCTGGGCTCCCTGCCTTCAGCCTACATGTGCCTTCCTGCCAAACAAATACATAGGAGGCGATTCTTTTCCTTCATACTCCCCTCCTGGAGGAAAAAAAAAACCCCCACATCATCAGCTACCAGTGTCATTTCCCAGCCTCTGGTGGCCAGAGCCCATGCCTCACCCTCGTCCTCACAGCCTGTTTCTGCAGCTGCATCAGCTTGAGTTGAAATGGTAAGAGCAGCTGCCACTTGGAGCACAGAGACAAGAAATTAGGAGCCCAGTCTGCGCATCTCTCCACATCCTTCGAGCGTCTTGCTGCAGGTTATTCGGGACTGCTGCGTGTAATAGCGGTGCCACCCACCGAGTGCTTGCTCTCTGGCAGCCTCTGCTCTAGGAACACAGTAAGGGCCATGGTGTTTAGTTCTTTCTCCACAACTCTCTGATGCTGGCATCATTGTTCCCATTTTACAGATGGAGAAACTGAGGCACAGACAAGTTGCAATATCTTACCCAAGGCCCCCAGTGGTAGAGCCAGGATTAAATCCCATGGATCCCATACCCCTGACCCACCGTGGGCTGACTCCATGGAGTGCCTGGCCTCTGAAGGTACCCGAGCCTACACCTGGAGAGGGGCCAGCCTTCAGCCAGCAGTCAGTAAGCTCCTCAGCCTAGAACACTGGGCACGTATTGGGTCCCCACTCTCCCCTAGCTGCGGGGACCCTTCCATGTCCTTCTGCTCCTCAGCCACAGGTAGTACCTTTCACTCGGGCTCAGCGGCGTCCTGGCCACTAGGGGAACGAGCTGCATGTGTGGGCAGAGTGCTTTGTTCCTTATTCTGGAAAAACAACCCAAAGTCCCGTCCTCTGATCGTGTCTCGCCTGGAACCACTTTAGAACCTGTCATCTGCACTTTCAGGCTGTGACACCTCAGACAGTCCCTGGATGGTCCCAGAGGATGACTTGCCAGGCCTCAGCCAGAAACCCCAGCTCGTCTGACAGCAGCCTGGCAAGGGAAGGAGTGATGGCCCCTGCAGCCGCCTGGCCACACACGCTCTGACTTCGATCGACAGCTTCCCAGGACGAAAGTCCACCCTCCATTCCAAATGGCTACGCAGTGCTTGACCACCAGTTTGCTTCTACTGACCCTCCCACTCTTGCTCCTTCCGCCCTCTGCCCCCTCTCCTCTTCCTTCTGGGGGGCTCTCCTCCATGTGGGCTGCGTCATCTCCAGTGAGACTCTGTTGCCCCTCCTTCCATCCCTTTGCTCAGGTCTGAGGATCCCTCCTCACCCAGCTCCTGTCACACTGAGCCTGACCTCCACGCACGCCACATGACTCCAGTCCCCTCTCTTAGGCTCCAACACATTAAGGGTAAAGCTTCAGCACCCAGAAAACAGAGGATCCTGGGTAAAGTTCTCAGGAGGTCCAGGGTGCATTCTACAGGCCAAGGGGATAAGAGGACCTCTGCCTCCCAGTCAGGGCTGCTCTCGCTCCCTCCATCTCTTTGTCTCTGCTGCTCTCTCAGGCCGAGGCCTCCTCTACCACTTCCCAGGGGCGCAAAAGCTGGAGCTCCGTTTGCATTAATTCTCTGGGTTGCTTTAACTCTGAGCTGCATGCTAATTTATGCAAACTGAATGCAAATGAACATAGAAAACTATGTGACCCTGGATTTACTGGAAATCAGAGGTTTTCCTGATGGGAAGACTTAGGGAATTTTGGAATTGACTTCCCAAGAGAAATTTAAAAATAGATGGCCTCCAGTTGGGGGCTGGGGAGGAATGTGGCTGGAAGGCACTCAGAGGAAGGAGCAGAGTCCGGGTTCCATGTCATTTCCAAGTGATTCAGCAGAAGCCAGAGGAAGAGAAAGCAGCTGGCCACCAAGCTGTCCCCCCTTATCCTCTGTTGGCTCTGAGCACTGGATCCGTTCCAAGCTCCGCTGAAACCACTCCCCAGTGCGCGCTGCAGAGCAGAGCGCCCAGGGCGTCCCCCATGTTTGGAAAGGGGCATTTTTCTGGTGTCCAACTTCACATGAGAAGGCTCTCTGCTGGTCCCCTTTCCCTTTGCATCTCCTGTGCTGATCATCCTCTGCTTGCCCCTCATTGTGTATACCTACCTGGTCGAGTGTTCTGGAACCTGGCCAGGGGTGTGAGGCGGTCTGCATGTTCCTACAGAGATGACCTCAGAGGATAGCAGGCAGGTAGGTCAACTCAGGCACGAAGCCATAGGCACCCCATTTCCGGGAGGAGGGAGAGAAGCATCAGTTCAAGAAAGAACACACATGAGAGAGGAAGTTGGCCCAGAAGCAGTGGCTTATTCTTCTGACTCTACGCTGGGATGTGAAGAATAACTCCAACAGATAGAAACTGACCTTTTCTTAAAGATTTCAAGAGAAGAAATAGAGAACTATTTTTCCAAAATATTTACAAGAGTCCACTAAGTTTCATGAGAACATTTTTTTAAAGATTTTATTTATTTATTTTTAGAGAGGGAAGGAAGGGAGAAAGAGAGAGAGAGAGAAACATCAATGTGCGGTTGCTGGGGGCCATGGCCTGCAACCCAGGCATGTGCCCTGACTGGGAATTGAACCTGCGACACTTTGGTTTGCAGCCTGCACTCAATCCACTGAACCACGCCAGCCAGGGCTCATGAGAACATTTTAACCTATATTCACATAAATGGTTGGCGCATCCATGGAAGTAATTTTCTCTAGTTCTTTCCTCCAACCAGAGAACAGCCACTCCCGGCTGCTTGGCAATACTCCAGCAAACCCTTAACACAGGCCATGAAAAGACCTCACAACAAACTCCCCCAAGATTCAAGGACCGCCTCGCCACTTCCCTAACTGAACCCTCCATCCCCAGGTGGCAGGGAACTGTGTGTACTGAACTTTGTTGCCCTAACTAGACAGAAAACATGCTGAGGGACAAATTTCAGCTGATCAGTATTCGGGGTTATCCAGAGGAAGGAAAAGGGGCTCCTTTGTGCATCCAAGAGAGAAGGGCACCATGTGCATCAGGCATGTTTCATATATTATATCCTTTAAGTCTTACGACAGTCCCACTAAATATGTATTATTTCCATTGACAGATGATGAAACCAAGGCTAAGAGAGTTCAAGTCTTTTGCCCAAGGTCGCACAGCTGGTGAATGATCATGGCAGAGCCTCCTACTACCCATTAGAATCCGTTTCTCTTTTTCTGTTTAGGCGCATGTCAAATGACACTTCCCAGCCCTCTTGTGTTATAGGCCCACCTTGCGACTGAGTTCTAGCCAATGAGATGGGGACAGAAGTGACTTTTGCCACCTCTGGGCCTGGCCCATAAAAATCTCACAGGGGTCCTTCATCATCTTCCCCATCACTCTCTGGAAGACCCTGGACACCACGAAGCCAGGTGACTAAGATGGGAGGAGCCTGGTCCCTGAATGACTACAGGGACCCTGCCTTCTGCCACCTGTGCTGGACTATTTGACTTGGACGCTAGAAACCTTCACTGTGTTAAGTCACTGAGAGCACAGCTCACCCTGACTGACAGCACGGTGAGGGCGGGGTCTGACACCCGGTCTCTCCCACTCCAAAGACCATCCTCTTTCATGAAGCCACACTGCCACACCACACAACAGAAGCAGACTGTCCCATGGTTCACCTCTCCCCTCCACGCCTGTCCCACAACCAAGAGCTGCATTCCGAAAGATTTTGGAGAAAATTGGGTTAAAAAAAGTCAAGCAAGCAATCAACAGCTATACTACCTGTTGGACATACACAAAACTATGCTTGTTGTTACCTCACATCTGGAGAAACCCTTCTATCATTCGTGCCAAGGAGGGCTCTCCCTGCCACCTTCACGGGACCCGCCTCCCCCTGCGGCTCTGTCCCATGGAGCAGGGCTACAAATCGGAAGCACCTGGAGAACAGCCACGGTCCCCACGGAGGCAAGTCAAAGCTGTTAGCAATGATTTGCAGCTCGCCCTGCATCCTACTGTCCCTACCCCACACCAGTGAGTGCTGGGTAAATGTCACAGTCGGGACAATGTCACTAAGATCATGGAGAAAATAACCCATATGTAATCAATCAACCTAATATAAGTTAAGATTAACCAGTAGTTTGGGCACGACAGAATCAGCCCAACCTGATTTTTAAAAGAGAGAGA